TCGCATGACGCCCTTCCAAGCTCTATATGGTCGGGCTCAATGGATATGCAACTTTCGGACCGAGATGAGCAGCTGAAACAGTTACGCTGCAACTTGGAGCGCGCTCAGAAACGAATGAAGCGCTATGCGGATCAGAAACGGGTGGAGCGGGAGTTTCAGGTGGGGAGCTCGCTTGGCTGAAACTGCAACCTTATCGGCAGGGGTCCGTGGCCAGGCGTCTCAGCAACAAGTTGGCCCCGAAATACCACGGTCCTTTTGAGGTGCTCGGTAGGGTAGGTCCTGTGGCGTACAAGCTTCGGCTGCCCGAAAGTTCCAGGGTGCATCCGGTTTTCCATGTGTCTATGCTGAAAAAGGTGGTCGGTAGGCGTGCGGCTTCACAGTAATCGGTGATTGTCGATTTCGTGCAGACATCTCCGAACCATTGTTTCCAGAGACCATGTTACAAGGGCCCCTGAGGAAGCAAGGAGGGCAGTCCCTTAAGGAAGTGCTGGTGAAGTGGCAGGGTCGGGACATTGAGAACGCCACTTGGGAAAGTGTTGAAGAGTTGCAAGTCCGTTTCCCTACCTTCGACCTTGAGGACAAGGTCTCTTTTGAGGAGGGGAGTAATGTTACAACCGAGCCTAGGAGGAATAGATACGAACGGATGTATGCTAAAGGAGCTCACAACGTTTTCAGTTGGGGAAAGGAGGTGAGTGCGTGAGAAGGTTGCTGAGCTGGCCTAGACTGTTAGACTTCTAGGGAATAATGCCTAGAGAGTAGGGACGTTACAAAGGAGTGAGGAGAGGAGGTAGTCGTTTATCATCATTTTAGAATAATTCTTACTATTGTATTGGCTGGCCGAGCTGAGCTCATGGATTTCCAGTGACGATTAATCAAACGGATCCGTTGGTTGAGGTTCCTTCGGTAATCTAGCTGTGGTGTTGATCTGTATTGCTTGTGTGTGTGTATTTGTGCTGCAGGTACTCAGTGATCCAACACATTTCCGTCGTAATCTGTTGTTCCAACAAAAACTTGAGGCTCTTGTGGTCGGTCCAGACCCGAAAATGTCGCCCTAGTAGGTAGGTCGCCAATGCTGGACTGCCAGCGCTAAGGCCAGTAACACTTTCTCATAGGCAGAGAGAAACACATTCTTTCCCTTGAGTGTGGTGCTATAAAAAGCTATAGGACGTTCTTGCTGCATAAGCACAGCCCCGACACCATACTTTGAGGTATCGCACTCCACCACAACCTCCTATTTGAAATCGGGAAGTGCCAATACCGGCGCTTTGGACATCGCTTGCTTCAGCCTCTCAAAGGCCCTGTTAGCCTCGTCATTCCAAGTGTACCCCCCTTTTTTGAGCAGTTCCGTCAAAGGTCTAGCTATTTGCCCGTATCCCGCAATTAAACGGCGATAATACCCCGTTAAACCTAAGAAACCCCTCGGCTCCTTCACGTTCTTAGGTTGGGGCCAAGTTTTCATTGCCGCTACTTTAGTGGGATCAGCTTTTACCCCTCCAATGCAAATGATGTGGCCTAGGTAATGAACCTCTTCTTGGGCCAATGAGCATTTTTCCTTTTTAATGACTAACTGGTGCTTCTCCAAAATCTGGAACACCCTGTCCAAATGTTAGTCATGTGTATCTTGGTTGGAACTGTAGACCAGTATGTCATCAAAAAACACTAGAACAAACTTCCGTAACACTTCCTTGAATACCTCATTCATGAGACCCTGAAATGTGGATGGGGCATTTGTAAGTCCAAAAGGCATTACCAAGAATTCGTAGTGCCCGTGGTGTGTGTGAAACGCGGTCTTTTCTACATCCTCTTGTGCCACGCGAATCTGGTGGTATCCAGATCGTAGGTCCAACTTAGTGAAAACCTGAGCCCCCTTAAGTTCATCCAGCAGCTCTTCAATGAAGGGTATGGGAAACCTGTCCCGTACTGTCATTTTGTTCAACCCCCTGTAGTCTACGCAGAACTGCCAAGTTCTGTCATGTTTCCTGACCAGCAAAACTAGTGAAGAGTAGGGACTTCGGCTGGTTTGTATGATTCCTTGCTGTAGCATGTCATCTACCATCTTCTCAATCTCCTGTTTCTGATAATGGGGGTATCTGTAGGGTCGCAAACTCACTGGACCACTCCCTGGCAACAAGGGAATTCGATGATCTTGGCTCCTTGGGGGAGGAAGACCCTTGGGCTCCCCAAACACGGTGGGGTATCTCATAGCCCACGGTTCCCATTCCCCGGTTTTGTTCCCTTCTCTTGGTCTCTCGTCCAACAACCGAATCTGCAACAACATTCCGGATCCACTTTTTTTTTTTTAAGAACCGGCCGGTCTATGGACCTCGCCCCCACCTGTTTAGCTTCAATCTACCCCAACCCTTCGAGCCTAACTTCGGACTCCCCCACCTTAAATCTCATGTCCATGGTATCAAAATTCCAGACTATGGGACCCAAGGTTCTCAGCCAGTGAGCCCCCAGCACCGCATCACACCCCTCTAACTCTATTAAGTAAAAATCAACGAGGAATAAAGTGTTCTGAATATTGAGATTTACCTCTCTGCACAATCCTGGACTTCGTAGCCGCTCTCCATTAGCCACTACAACTCGTAACGACGAGTTCTTCTCCATGTGTAGTCTGACTACCCTAGCAAATGGTTCGTGTAAGAAATTATGGGTAGATCCTGTATCAATAAGCACCGTGAGATTTACCTTTCCAATTTTTGCCATAACTGGATCGTCTGAGGCGCGGTTATCCCTACCATGGTAGTCAGAAAAACCGCCGGTTTGATCCCTTCTTCCTCCGTCGCCACCTCGGGCTCCGCTCCCTCTGTGGAATCTTCTTCGATCTCGATCAAAAACAGCCGCTTACAGGCGTGATTGAAGGTGTACCGTTCGTCACAATGGAAACACAGCCCTTGCTCCCTTCTCTTTTGGAGTTCCGCGGGGGTAAACCGCCTTACTGTGACCTCCGGCCGTGTACTCCCCTTTTCCTCCCCCTCAGGCGGCCGCCCACTGTAGTTGGAATTTTTTTTGAAGAATGGGGCATGTTTGCCCTCATTGACCCCTGATCTGCCGTCCTGTTTTTTTCCCTCATAGATTCGAGCCAAGGAGATGGCGAATGACAGAGTAGTGGGGTTTTGGGCCCGCATGTCAACCCGCAAGAGCTCCTTCAGCCCACTAAGGAAACAGGCCGTCTCTTGTTCATCCGTGAGTGGGCCAGCCTTTCCCAGCAATCGCTCGAATCGCCTCTGGTATTCCCTCACCGTTGAGCTCTGCTGCAGCTTACATAATTCTCCGAATCCGTCTTCGTACGGTGCCGTTCCAAACAGAAGCATCAATTCAGCCTTGAACTCCTCCCAATCCATTTGGGCTCTGAGCATCTTCTTCCTTTGGACCCAAATCTGGGCGTCCCCCTCCATGTGGTACGAAGCTAATTGTACCTTCTCCGTGTTGTCTGTCCCTTGAAACTCGAAGTACTGTTCTGCTCGTCACAACCAGATGGTGGGATCATCCCTTCCATCATATCGCGGAAAACTCCAATCTTACCGCCTTGGCTAGCACGGATCCTGTCGACATCTCCCCTGTAGCTGCTGGTCGGACCTCCCTCCGGTTCGACGCGGACGCCTCCTCCCGAGTTTGCATCAGCTGGATGAAATCGTTCATCTGCTTCAACACCCTTTCTTGTCCAACGCTAAGAGACGCGACCTGTTGCCCAAGGCGCTGGTAAACATTGGTCGTCTGCCATGTCTGGCTCTGATACCAAGTTGTTATTGACCCCCGTCTCTGCGGTCCCTCGGCCCCGTCCTCGCCTGTTCCTAGCTATTGTGACCGTGGAAAAGAATGGCGCGAGATAGAAATGAATAATCGGAAAACAGAGAAATGAGTATATTCATCAATGCCATAATATTCTTTACAGAAGCCTCTTATAGCCCCTAGGCTACTCATCCACGGTTCCTCCCAAAATGGCTACAACCGGTTCTTGGAAACAGAAATAATGAAAATGGCAATAACAGAATTGGGACCACAACCCTTCTACGTGCATTAGTAATAAGCAGAGAATAAATGAAATAATGGTAAAGACTAATTCACCCCTCATGCAGTGTTAGGTCCGTAACAGCATCGCGTGCATAATCTGTCATCTTTTATCGCACAATTGATGAGAAGGGCCAAAACTGACACAAATACATAGATCAGAGTTAAAGCTTTGGATGTTTTAAAAGGGACAAAAAGTGGGAGAGAGGTTAAAGTTCAAGGACATTTCTAGGATTTACCCTTAAGTTTATGGATAGTCGACTATATAAAGGTTGCAGAGCAGGGCTTGCTTGTAATACAAAGTTGTGCACAGATTTTTAAGAAAATTTCAATACGTCTCCTTGAATCATATTTGAGAGAACCCCATTTTGTGAGTTGTGAGCATTATGGTTTATGTAAATTATTACATAGTTAGCTTTCTAATGGTAGAAGTTGAAAGTAGGAAAGGTATATGGAATAAGTTATGGTGATCAAAAGGTGTTTCTTGTCCACCAGCTAGGAAATGCCGTTTATCTAAAATTAAACCTTTGCCTCTTGACTTTGACCATGCTGCTACAGTATCTGTCTTCTCTTTCCAAAACACATGTAGACCCTACTCTTCCACAGTTCTCTATTTTTCTCTCAAATGCATTCCACTTATTAAATCATCTTTCTTTTGGTTTGTCATAAGATTATTGACCTCAATTATCATGTAAAAATATTTAGAATAACAATTGTCCCATCTCACTTGCAAATAAATGGAAAGACTTGTGTATTTTTAGAAACTTAGAGCAGAAGAGAGCAGCCTATCTCCTACTAAAGTTTCATCAGTTGTACAATTCCGGTTCAATCACCAACAAATTCATGCATTGCTTATGGTCCTATGGATATATTTTAGCGTAATGCTAGAAATGACATTTATTGATTTGATTATTCATTAGTTGTTGACATGGAGGTTCTTAAAGTTGTGAGGTTATTTTCTGACGGTCCTGATGATTTGGTTTCAGGTAACCAATACTCCATGGGGTGAAAGAGGGTTATTCGTTTTCGATCCCAAGTCTGATTTAATAGCAAAACCCTTGCACGTCAGTCCATTTATGGTATGTGTTAGTAGTTACTTGGCACTTCTGGATTTCCATATTGATTATCTTTTAATCTTCTATAGTATTATGATAAGTCTTTTTCAAATGACAAATTGGTTCCCTTTTGAAGATGCTCTCTTGAAAACAAGATTACTCGGAAAATTTTGAATTTATGTTTGAGCTTTGCTATGCTAATAAAATATTAAGCCCTGTAATTCTTTTTATGCTTCATGCAATTCATGCAACCACATGAAATTGCCATATTTCTTGTTCTGAGTTGCATCTATGCTCTAAATGGACGGAATAGAACCCTTATTATGGTGCTCGTAGAGATGTGCAAAAACTTAACTGTTTGAGTAGACATGCTAGAATGCCCTGTTTGACAAAACATTCATTAAATTCTGGCAGGATATGCTTGGTAATTGGAGCATCAAAGCAAATGCTCCAGGTGATAATCTATTTGTGGCAATTTCAGTTCAGCACCCAACACTTGGTGACTATTTCACTGCTACTTTGAGAGCCAAGAAAGTTTCATCGTCATCAGTGTCTGATCATTCACTATTCTTCTGGTTGATGCCACATAAAGTTGCAGTGTGGATATACTGGCATGTAAGTACTACTAGCATTTCAAAATTCAATGTTTTCATCTTTGCTGCACTTAAGATCAATTGTTCTATTGACAAGAAATCAAGTTGACTAACTTTTGGTCATGGAAAAAGGATAAACATGATAAGAGTAGAGTAGTTCTTCCACAGAAACAAATCAAGAAGAATGAAAGATGGAATCTTTATTGATTAACAAAATGAATTACAGACTAAACGAAGGACACTCTCTCTCTCCCCGTGCTCAGCCTCAGCTAAGTCTTCCTTTACAACTCCAGTAATTTCCTGCCACTCTAATCCCAGCTCTGGCCTATTTATTCCCCTCTATATTACCACGATAAGCCCATGACCTCCACCGCACTATACAGAAACTCAATTAACTAACGCTCTCAATTCTAATAACTCCACGTCACCCTTTATTTCCCCTCCTCACATAAACCTGTCTAAGTAACGGTTTATTGCCCTTATCAACTACTCCGCCCCCCAAAAAAGTCACCTTGTCCTCAAGGTGAAATTCAGGAAACTGTTGTTGAATGACATCGAAAAGTTCCCAAGAAGCCTCGAAGTTCGGTAAATGACGCCACTGCAGCAAAACCTCCAACTGCCCCGTCACCGGTGAAAAGCGAGTAGCCAGCAGCCTTTCCGGATCGACGCGTAACTCCATGTCAGCGGTTAGACTTTGCGGAACCTCTTGAGCCGGTAAAGACATGCCAATGGCCTTCTTAAGTTGCGACACATGGAAGACCGGGTGGATTTTCGCAGCTGCGGGTAGTTGCAAATGATACGCCACGGACCCGACACACATGATAACCTTGTAAGGACCATAAAACCAAGGAGAGAGTTTCTCATTGGAGAACTTGGCTAAGGAACGATGGCGATATGGTCTGAGTTTCAGAAACACCAAATCCCCTACCTCGAAAGACACGTCCCTCCTTTTAAGATCTGCTTGCGCTTTCATTGCTTGCTGAGCCTGTAACAAATGTGCGTGAAGCTCGTCCAATATGTCATCCCGGGACTGCATTTGCTGCTCTAACAAAGAGTTAGCTGTAGAACCTAACTCAAAACGAACTAACTTGGGGCGGATCACGACCATACAACGCACGGAAGGGAGTCATTCCCGCGGAGACGTGGAAGCTCGTATTATACCAATATTCGGCCCAAGCAAGGTGAGAAAACCAGTGAGTAGGTTTTCTTAAGACAAAGCAACGTAAATAAGCTTCCAAACACCTATTAACCACCTCCGTTTGGCCGTCCGATTGAGGATGGTAAGCCGTACTGTGATGCAACGAAGTCCCCTGCAATCTAAAGAGCTCTTTCTAGAAATGACTGAGAAAAACTTTGTCTCGATCGGACACAATAGTTTGAGGGAACCCATGGAGCCTGACCACCTCTTTAACGAACAGTGCAGCCACCGATTTTGCCGAAAACGGATGACATAGAGCCAAAAAATGGGCATACTTACTAAGCCGGTCCACAATAACTAAAATAGAGTCATGACCTGCCGACTTTGGAAGACCTTCCACAAAATCCATGGAGATATCATCCCATACCTGACTCGGAAGAGGCAAAGGCTGCAGCAATCCTCCTGGAGATAAAGTAGAGGTCTTGTTCTGTTGGCAAATCTGACAAGCAGTCACCAGGGATAACACATCTTGCTTCATGCCATACCAGAAAAATTCCGAAGACAGCCTTTTAAACGTCTTTAATACGCCTGAGTGGCCCCCAATCTTGCTGCCATGAAACTCTGCCAAGAGGACCGGTATGAGAGGAGATTGGCTGGGTAGAACCACCCGCCCCTTATACAACAGCGTGCCATTACACAAAGAAAACCCCTTCACCGCTGCGGATTGAGCCACGAGAGCAGCCCGAATAGCGGCCAGCCGAGGATCCCGTTGGATTTGTTGACAAATCTCAGCCCCGTCATAAATGGCCGAAGTGGCCAAGTGCACCAATTCCAAACCAGAAGGCTGCCTAGACAGCGCATCAGCCACCCAATTTTCAAATCCAGGCTTGTATTGGATCTCAAAATCGTAACCCAACAACTTACACAACCATTTCTGGTGGTCCTCACTGATTAATCTCTGTTCCAACAAAAACTTTAGGCTCCTTTGATCCATTCGAACAATGAAATGGCGTCCCAATAAGTAATGGCGCCATTTCTGAATGGCGAGGACCACAGCCATGAGCTTGCGCTCATACACTGATTTCGTTCGAGCACGTGATGACAACACTTGACTGAAATAAGCAATGGGCCGCTGATGTTGCATCATGACTGCGCCAATCCCAAACCCCGACGCATCCAATTCCACGACGAATGGCTGGCCAAAATTTGGCAGTGCCAAAACCGGAACTGTGGTCATGGCCTGCTTCAATTTCTGAAAGGCGTCCTCCGCCTCGCTAGTCCAATGAAAGTTGTCTTTCTTCAGTTGCTGCGTAAGTGGCCAAGCAAGGTGCCCATATCCCAACACAAAGCGCCGATAATAGCCCGTCAACCCTAAAAAACCCCGCAACTCCTTGATAGAACGAGGGGTGGGCCAATCTACCATTGCTTGAATTTTACTAATATCAGCCGCCACACCATTTCCAGAGACAATGTGGCCCAAATATTCCAATTTACCACTTGCAAAAATGCATTTTTTTTGGTTCACATATAAGTGATTGTCCTCCTAAGCAGACAAAACGACATCCAAATGGTTGATATGGTCCTCAAGAGTTCTACTATAAACCAAAATGTCATCAAAAAATACCAACACGAATTTCCGCAAAAAAGGTTTCAATACCTCATTCATGAGAGATTGGAAAGTGGCCGGGGCGTTGGTTAACCCAAAGGGCATAACCAAAAATTCGTAGTATCCCTCATGTGTTCAGAAAGCTGTTTTCGGAATATCTTCCTTGCACATCCGAATTTGGTGGTAACCGGATTTTAAATCCAATTTGGTAAAGACGGTGGCCCCACTCAATTCGTCCAATAGCTCTTCGATAACCGGAATGGGAAACTTATCAGGAACTGTAGCCTTGTTAAGTGCCCGGTAATCAACACAAAAACGCCAACTCCCATCTTTTTTTTTAACTAAAAGAACAGGGCTTGAAAATGGGCTGCTACTCGACTGTATAATAACCGCCGAAAGCATCTCTCTTACCAATTTCTCAATCTCATTCTTTTGAAAATGAGGGTACTTATAAGGTCGAACGCTAATAGGGGCGGTACCCTCCTGAAGGATAATGCGATGATCCCGCATTCTTTGGGGAGGGAGCCCCTCCGGCATGTGTAATACCTTCGAATGCCGCTGCAAGACCACATTAACCTCCCTTTGGAATTGCGATCCAATTCCCTGAATACTCCCAAATCCGGTTCATTGTTGGCATCCAAGGCACTCAATTCTAAGTAGATGCCATGACCCTCATGTTTAATGGTCCTAACCATGGCCTTAAGAGAGATCATCGTGGTGGAAAAACTCAAATCACCCCTCAATGTAACCGCTTCTCCTCTCACCCTGAATTTCATAATCTTGATTTCCAATTGACATGCACCCCACCTAATGTTTCCAACCATTGCATGCCCAATATAACATCCACCCCCCCCCCCCAATTCAAGCGGCAAAAAATTTTCCACTATGGTCAAGTGTGCTAATTTCAATGCTACCTCCCTACATATACCTTTTCCTTTGACCGATTCTCCCGTTCCTAATTGTACCCCAAACCCCGCAGTGGGTGCAATTGGAATCATAACCCTTTCCACAAAACTCAATGAAATGAAATTATGAGTTGCTCCGGAATCAATTAACACTATTACCTCTTGTTGAGCAATTGTGCCCCGGAGCTTCATTGTCTTTGGCGTCGAAAGTCCTACCACTGAATTCAAAGACAACTCGATAAGTTTTGGCTGCTGCTCCTCCCAATCTGAGCTAGGCAAGGTTGGGTCATCCTCTTCATAGTCGGTTGCATCCTCATCACTAACCAACATTATCCGAAGCTCCTTCTTCTTACAACGATGGCCAAAAGTGAACTTCTCATCGCACCTAAAGCATAGCCCCTTATCCCTCTTTTCCTGCAACTCGGAATCCGAAAGCTTACGAAAAGGAAAATCCCGTCTTTGAGTTGCTGTTTTCTCCAACAACGCAGGGTTCCGCTGTGGACGTTCCACTACTGGCACCGTCCTAACCAAAGTTGGTGAAAACTCAGCCCTCTGAGTACTATGAAATTGAGGTCGGGAAAACCTGGTTTCAGCCCCTTCCCGACGCAACAAATCATTTCTTTCCTCAATTCTCTGGGCAATCTCCATGATTTCCCCTAACCCCACTGGTTTCAGGAGTCTCACTTCAGCCCGAATTTGCGCCTTAAGTCCATTTACAAAAATTCCCTCCAAGACCTCCTCCGGCACATCCCTTAGTGGGGCTGCTGAAACTTCAAACTGCCTGCGGTATTCGGCTACCGTACCCCCCTGCCGTATCGCCAAAAACCTCTCGCAGAGGTTGCCCTCCTGCGAGGAGCGAAATCTTTGCAACAATGCTACCCTAAACTCCGACCAATTATGGAAAGGCCTGCGACCATTCTGCCATTGGAACCACGACAGGGCATCCCCTTCCAACGAAATTCCCGAAGTGATGAGTTTTTCCCTGTCCGAGCAACGGTTTATGGAGAAAAACTGTTCCATACGGAACAACCAACCATCAGGATCCTCCCCTCCAAAGATAGGGCACTCCACCTATCGTCAACGAAGGGCCGCCCAATCTTCATTCACCGGCAACTCCTCCAAAACGCCTCTACCCTCCCAGTTTTCTCTACACCTATCTCCAACATTACTGTTCCTTCCCCTTTCTCCTCCTCGATGAACAGGAACGCCTGTCCTATTCCGTCGATCGTCGAACTCCATGGACTCACCGTCTAAGAAAAATCCTCGCCCCTCACCACGATGTCCGTTCCAATTTTTTCCTTGAGTGCCCCAAGGAGCACCCCTCGCCAACCCTCGCCCATCCTCCCTTCCATCGCGACCAGGATTTCGAGGATTCCTTCCCTCCGCCGCACGATCGATGCCTTGTTCTCGCAGCCAAAATCTCCCACCGGACACAACACATTTTGCGTCACCCTAGGGTTAATTGATCTTTCCTCCCCTAAACGTATTTCCACTCGCTCGCCGGCATGATTCGCCTCCCGAGCCTCTCCGACACGAATCCCTGCGCGTTCACTGTCGCGATTCGCATCTCGGTCTTCAACGGCGCGATTGGGTCCGCGATCACCTGCGCGATTCAACTCGCGACCTTCTCCGGCGCGATTAAGTCCGTGATCCCCCTCTGTCGTAGCCGCTACCGTCTTCTCCGGCACCGACGTGGACACAGAAAGGAGTTTCATCTGTTCCTCCATTAGCCGGCGAATCTCGGACATATCTGTCCTGTTCTGTGATAATTCCACCCTAACTTCTTCGAGACCTTTCTCCATGTCGCCCATTCCTTTCTCCATGGAAACCCTAACTTCCTTGATCTCTTTCTCCACCAACTCGAACCTCTCATCGGTTTTCCTAGCCGCCATATATGCCAGAATCTACGCTCTGATACCAAATTGATAAGAGCAGAGTAGTTCTTCCACAGAAACAAATCAAGAAGAATGAAAGATGGAATCTTTATTGATTAACAAAATGAATTACAGACTAAACGAAGGACACTCTCTCTCTCCCCATGCTCAGCCTCAACTAAGTCTTCCTTTACAACTCTAGTAATTTCCTGCCACTCTAATCCCAGCTCTGACCTATTTATTCCCCTCTATATTACCACGATAAGCCCATGACCTCCACCGCACTATATAGAAACTCAATTAACTAACGCTCCCAATTCTAATAACTCCACGTCACCCTTTATTTCCCCTCCTCACATAAACATGTCTAAGTAACGGTTTATCGCCCTTATCAACACACTTAGGGGTTGTTTGGTTGGGGGATTCGTATCCCGATTCGAATTACGGTTCATGATTCGCTACAGTGTTTTCTTTCATAAAAAATACACGTAAATCAAAAATGGTTCTAATCTCTTGATTCTAATGTATGAACCAAACATTTCCTTAATTGATCAGGACAAGGAAAAGTATTTTCCTGTTTCCAGTTCATCTTTGCTGAAGGGCATAGCATTAAATTTTTTAGATGATATATATGCCGTAGTAGTGAATCAGCCATTCATTTTCTTTACCCATTTTGTTTCTAGGCCCTTAAGCTATGGTGGAAAAATGTATCATTTATCCAACATCCGAGGTGTACCAATCCCGAATACAGGGAGGAAGCCATGATACGCGATCAAAAACTTAGATGTTGTCCAGTTGCCGGAGTAGACAAAGATGAGCATATGAAAACTGAAGAATTTCAAGAATGCTTGGCTAGCACTAACTGTGGAGCTCGTCGGTTCAAATGGAGGAATGCTAAGTGGCCTTGGTATTAAATACCAAGCTTAAGACCTTGTCATTTATGTGAAGGTATTCTGGCTTGTTCCTTCTGTTTCTGCTTCCGCTTCTGTATCGTCTGTACTTTGCTATTTATGAGCTGGTCTTGGAATAAACAAGCTCATTGAAGGGGAAAAAATGTTTTAAGGTTCACTCGAATCTGCAATTTTATTAAATATTTGCCCCTCTCAGTCAACCTCTTCACCCCATTTTCGCTATTTACGGCGATCGAGAGAAGGCTCGAACTGTTATTGCCACTCTCGACCACCAATGTTTTCCAAGAATTTTGGTTTGCATAAATATAAGTTTAAACCAAAGCTTTGCTGGAAAATTTTGGCTGAACCATTGATGTTGTTAATAACGAAGCATATTGGTTGAATAAAAAGCAATACTTGTGATTTATAAGTGTCACACAATTACATTGGAGAAAATTAGTTTTCACTTTGGTAAAACCTAAAATAGATAGATAGGTAGAGATCATATTATAAGTGGTTTTCTCTTAATTTTGTTTTTTACTAAAATTTTTCTCGTCTGCTGTTCAATTTGAACTCGCATTTAACAGTATTGTGTGCTAAGGCGTGAATTTGACTGTTATTCCACTTTGGCCCGTCAATAATCTAATCCAATGCATCTGCTTGTAACTTTTTCATTTATTGATTATTGATTATTGATGCACGAATCATATGGTTGTCCTCTACATTCTTTTTTCCTTTACTTTTTTTATAGGATTTTTTTTTTCTTTTCAATTGCTACAATAAGAAGTGGACAAATATAATAACTGCCGGCACAAGCATAAATAAAATAAAATCAGCGCCTATGATTCTGAACAGCTGACAGCCATATAAAATTTGGCGGTGAAAAATCTCTTCATAATAGTACAATATATATATTTATATATATCTATATATATATATTATATTGTTCACTATTTTTGGCCGTGAAAATTCTCTTCATGGCAATATTTTATTCTACACGAGCAATAGTTGCTTGACGATGTTAATAACTTGTCAAATGTGCAATGACCTTACTATCAACAATAAATTACATTGTTCAATAAGTAACCATCTTTTAATACTAAGTTTAACTGTATGATAAGTGCACAAAAATGCATTTTTTGGCTTACATAATTGTTAAATTAAGTTTTAATTAAATATTTTCATCAAATTAATTTAAATTTTTAGTTTGGAAATATTTAATTTTGATTTAATTTAATTTGTTTTGAAGGAAAAATCAATTGGGTCAAATTTGACAAGTAAGAAACAAAAGTTAGGCCCAAGAAATTATCAACCCAAGTCAAGCCACATTATCCAAGTTGCTTTCCTTGTCAACAGCACACATGCGTGCCTCCTCCATCCAATGCACCGAGCACGCGCAAAAGACAACCCAAGAAATCCATGGGTTTCACCGTGCACAACCTTCCAACTTCTTTTCTCAGCTGAAGAACGATTCTGGCTGTTGTTTTCTCTTATTTAATGAGCTTTTATCATCCAAATTAATTCTTTGTAAATTCCAATTAATTGGAAACGTTTTCTTCTTTTATTTTATTTTTGCGGCTGAGTATTTTGTGTAAAGAAGCTCCAAAAAAACTCTATAAATAGGGGCTTTGTCAAGGTTATTTATTGTTGAATTTTAGCCTTAGTTTAGATACTTTTTCTTCATTTTTTTCTTGTTTTTGTTCTCATATTTTCTCTTTAGAATTTTGTAAGAATTATGTGTAAATTAGGCTAGAATTCTTGGGTGAGACTAGAGATGATCCTATATGTGTAGTGAGTTTGTTTGGTTTTTAAATCTCGAATGGTTTGTAAGTTTTATACATTTGAGTAAATAATTTCTTTTTAATTATATTTCTTCCTCATATCAATATATTTTATTGTCAACTTTTATACAAATCTAATCAAGCTCTTTTTATGTGATTTTTTCATGATACTATATATTGGTAGACATTATTTTATGAGTAGTATTTTACTACAATATCACCCTGAGGTATATTGTCATTTTTAGATTTCTTATAAGATAATTTTTCTTAATTCTTAACGTAAGAATTTTATTTACTCAAATACATTTTTATTCACAAGTTCTTCAAATCTTATTTTTCTATTGATTGTTTGGGATATGAAACTTTCAATTGAGTCAATTTATGAATCAAAATCCAAATAGGTGAACAAAGCATATAAAGGATTCTCAATGTCTTATCACTTTTAGTTATTGAATTTTTTTCATTTTAAATTGCAGTCTTAAAATTAAATTGTTCTAAAATCACAAAAACACTCCTTTCTTTTCTTTATTCTTTGTTTGATTGTTTACTTTTTTAACGTTTTTGTTCCGCTAATCTCTATTGTTTATTTTCATCGCCTCCTTATGGGATTGACTTTCTAAATTGTGCTACAATTAACCGTTGATTTTTTTACACATTTGGGCATAATCACTGTACTATAATTTTATTTCTAGATTTATGTTGAAATGGTAAACTGTAGAAGGGACCTTGAAGAACTCACCAATTACAGCGGTGGAATCTAGTGTAATTGTGTTCCTTGGCTTGTGTCGCTTACTTTATTAATTCTTTTGATCACATTTTATACATGATTTATATGTTACCAATTACCAATTCGTCAATTCAATTTTGTTTGCAACTCACTCTATCCTACGAACAGATGTATATTTGTAACAGAATTTGTCATTGCATGGTATTTGACTTTTAGATGCTGACAAAAAGAGAAAAAAAAAATAATAATAAATAAAGAAGATGGAACTTGCACTTCTGAAATTGAAATCATACTCTTTTGAAGTTTGGTAAAACAAAATATAAACATGGTTTTATTTCCTCTACCAAAAAGAAAAACGTGTTTTTCTTGTTTTCCTATCCAACTTCGAGTGGACAGCAAGAAACACTTAGGGCCTGTTTAGTTCGTTGATTTGAGTTTTTAATTTGAGTTAATATATGATTTCATGTGAGAATTTTTTATTGTAGCAAAAAAGTTAGATGTGACTATTTTTAAGAGTTTTTTACTGTAGTAAAACTCAAATTTTAAACTCGAATCGGTGAAATAAACAGAGCCTTAAGCCTTGTTTATTTCACCGATTCGAGTTTTCAATTTTAAGTTTCTACAATTAAAAGCTCTCAAAAAATGTCACATCTAACTTTTTTGTTACAGTTAAAAACTCTCAAAAAATGTCACATTTCAACTCAAATTGAAAACTCAAATCCGCAAAGCGAACGAGATTTTATAGTCAAATTTTAGTTGTAATTTGACGTTGCTCACTAGTACTGTAGAAACACTTTCCAATTGTAATTCCTTCTCAGAGTAAACTTTCAATTGGGCCCGTTCGGTTCGTTAATTCGAGTTGAGATGTGATGTTGTGTGAGAGCTTTTTACTGTAGCAAAAAAGTTAGATGTGACTGTTTCTGAGAGCTTTTTATTGTAGTAAAACTCGAATTCTAAACTCGAATCAGCGAAAAAAATGGGACCAAAATGATTGTCAAAGAGCTGCTGAGTAGTACTAACACCGAAGACAAGTCCACTTTTGGCTTGTCTTTTTTTTTTTTTAGCATACTTTCAATCAATGAATTTCCCACAGTCTAAGGAGAATTTTTTATACTTTTTTATTCTTTAGTTGTTGTGAAAAATCATAATGTAAGTCTACGTTATCATTAACAAGTAGTAAAGTAATATATCGAGTAGTAAAGTAATATATAGAGTATCGTTTCTAAGAAAATTGTGTTAATTTTAATTAAGTATTGCAATTGAGTAAGTTTAAAATTATTTAAACGACCGAAAATTAAAATGAGAATAATAAAATAAAAAGAAATAAGAGTAAAATAAATAATCTAAAATATTCAGATCTACGACTCACTAAAATTAAACATATTTAAAAATCCTTATATAAATTAGTTATGTCTATTCCTAATGTTGACTGTGAATTTCTCTAAATTAATTATTAATCTTTTTCAAGCATCAATAATCATGCCCCAAACATGCAGATCTTACATTTATATCAAGATTTTAACATGTTGAGATTTATTAAGAACAGGAAATCATCACTACTGCACTAGTCACATAATTATTTCTATGACAAATTTTATAAATTCCCCCATAATTTTGTTATTTGTGTCAACATACCGCATGAACTTTAAAATGTGCATGTTGTGCCCCCTGAACTTTGTCACTTGTGTCATTTTGCCCCCTGAGGTTAACTCTGTAAAGTTTTTTTTTTTTAATGAAAATGCTTATAAACACCTCCTGAACTTTGTTAATTACTTGTATCAATATGCCCCCTTAACTTTAAAATGTACTTGTTTTGCCTTTCGAACTATGATATATCTCAAACTTTTCTCCCTCCATCTTGATTCTATCAGTTTTTTTGAACAAAAATGTTAATATGACCACTACATTGTTAATTATTTATGATATTTAACCATTAAAGTTTGTTAAGTTAATGGGTTTCTTAATGTTTGTATTGATTTTTTTAAAAAAGGTACAATAAAATAAATTACTTGAACTCATTTAGATTTAGAAATGCTATATATGTATAAAACATAAATATATTTTATGTCGAGTACTTCTATTTAGGTGAAATATTAAGAAAAAAACTAACAAAATTCATTATATATAGATTTGCTCCCTTTTTTTCCTCTTTATTGCCTCTAATCAAGTAATGTTTTAAGAATTGGTACTTAACTAACATTTTTAGAGGTGAATGTATTCAATGAATCTCAAATATCAAAGATAATTAGCAATTTAATGGTCATATCAACAATTTAATGGTCATAATTAGTAATTTAATCGGTGAAATGAATGGGGCATTTGATTCCTTTTGATTTTAATTGCACTTTTTTGCTCCCTTATTATTTCCGATTAAGTCCCAATGTTGCCATATATGCCTTTTTCACCTAATTAAACATAAATGATAATTAATAAAATAATTAAGGGAAAAACTAAATAAAATCAACTAAAATAAAATAAAATGAATCAAAATAAAATAAAATAAAATAAAGTGAAACTAAACTAAAAATTAAATAAAACAAATAAAAATCCATAAAAACAAAGAAAATTTAAATGCAAATAAGAAAAAAAAAATAACTCTATTTTATAGAGTTATCATTAGCAAATGAGAATTTGAAGGTATATAATTAAAAGAAAAATTCCTTCTTAATAGGATAAAGTTTTGAAAGGTTACATCTTTATCAAATTTTGTTAAATTATTCTTAATTAATTTGATATAGTTTTGGTATGTGATTTGACTGTTAACATTATATTTTACAAATAGGATATTGAAATTATCTGTTACAATGGTGTATGGAGAGACCAACCCAATCCACGTGTCTGAGTTGCAGTCCGATCAAAGCTCCTTTAAACTTTACATAAATATATTGTGAGTAAGTACTTGCTAAATAAA